AGTGCTCCAATTTTTCGCCGTTTAGCAAATATGAGTAAATGACGCTCAGTTGCTTAACATCCGTCTTCTTATTGATGCAGTTGTCATTCATGAAAATGTGGGACATTTCCAGGAATAAACGTTTGGATATCGAGGAGTGATACTTGTGTAGTTCATAGAGTGCCCTGTTGTGTTGACATGAGATGCTAGAGCAAATCTCTCGGGATGAAGCCTAGAATCACTTTTGTGTGATGTAATCCTTCCTTTAAGAGATATGGAGGTCTGACCTTTGTATATTTGATTACAATTGTTGCAATTGATAGGGTAGACTGTGTTGGTTAAGCCAAGCAGCGGGACTCTGTCTTTCATCTTTGAAAAAATGCAGTTTATAGTGAGGACGGATTTGCAGCATACGGATCATTTCCTTGATATAGAGCAGGACAGCAAAACCAGGTCTGGAATTTGGGATGGTGGTTGTACTGTTTGAATTGGTGTTGTCGTTGGGAATTCTATCGGTACTGTTATTAGGAGTTGTGAGATTGAGACTATTGCTTGTGTCATTAGAGTTTGCTAAAATACTGGGAGGAGAGCTAAACAAGATCTTGTTAATCAGACCCTTTGGATAACCATTGTTAATGGACAGTTTTGATAGCTTCCGTAAATTTGAAGTATGGAAAGTATTATCTGAGATGCTGATTATCCTTGTTTTCATCTGTTTCGCCAAGTTGATTTTAATCCTTAGTTTATGGTATGACCTAAAATTGAGGAACCGGCCTGAGGTCATGGGTTTCTGGTACCAGTCTACCAATAAACTATGGTTCTTGGTGCGGATGAGTCTTGTGTCTAGAAAGGGGACAGACAGGTTCTCATCTTCTTTTTCAATGTTAAATTGGATGTAGAGGTCACAGCTGTTGAATTCTCCGACAATACCATCCAGACCTCTGGAGGGGAGGCATAAAATAATGTCATCTACGTATTTTTTTATGAGGAAAAGATTATAGGGTAGTGTCGGAATAACAGTATCAAGCAGATCATCCATGACATATTCGGCCAAAATTGGTGATAGAACAGATCCCATAGGACAACCATGTGTCTGAGAATATATGTTGCTGTTGAAAGAGAAGTAGTTATTATGAAAGAGGAATGTTATAATGTTCGTGAACGATTCTAGAGATATGTTGCAATGTTGACTTATCTCATCCCAGTGGCTATTTATAGTTCTAGTACATGCATCCAGATAGATATTGCTGAATGGCGACACCACATCAAGATTGGCGATAATGTGATCGGGTGGTATTGGCAATCTGTTGAACTGGCGAGAGACATCAAACGAGTCTTTGATGTAGTAATCATTATCTACATGTGCTGATTTCAATGTTTCCGATATTAATGAAGACAAAGCCTGGGTGGCTGAACCTATTGATGCAACTATAGGTCTTACTGAGAGTAGGAGTTTGTGAATTTTCGGAAGTGCATAGAATTTAGGAGGGACAGAGTTATAAGTAGTCAAAGTCCTTTTTGTTCTTGGGTTATTTGTCCAGTGTTGAGAAGTTCCTTAACAATGTCATTACTTTTCTTTTCCACCGTTGGTGTAGGATTTCTATTAATTTCATGGCATGATGGGTCATCATTGATAAGATTGATGCATAGATCTAAATAGTGTTGTCTTAGAATTATCACTGTAACATTGCCTTTGTCAGATCTTGTAACCATAAGTTCAGGATGTTGTTTTAGAAATGTTCTAGTTTTGTTTAAAAGGTTGTGATAAAAGGAATGCTTTTTATTAAGATTGTTGCTATGATAACAGTTAGTGATGAGGTTGGTGGAACGAGCTGTGAAAATGTTTCTTTCAGTGTCATCACTTATGGAGGATGCTATTGGGTCTACATCAGCTAGGATGGATCTGATTGGAATATCATTGTCTGTGGCAGGAAGATATCTCAAGTGTGAGTATTTTGTCACCTACCCTGTGCAGACGACTTTTCATCCCATCTTCTATTGAATGGCATTCAATCACCAATTTGGCAGAATATGTCATAGATGATCTGCTTGATTCTGTTATTCTGACACTACCCTATAACCTCTTCTTCATAAAAAAATCCGTAGATAACATTAGTTTATGCCTCCCCTCCAGAGGTCTGGATGGTATTGTCGGAGAATTTCCCATTGAAAAAGAAGATGAGAACCTGTCTGTCCCCTTTCTAGACACAAGGTTTTGGTTAACTCTTTTGACGATAATATCAAGCTTTCAGCGATTCTCTATGGAGCATTCATCAGGATCTGAAAACACAATTGTGATGCTAGCAACCAATACAGGAACGACTTAAAATGTCAAACAACTCGCTCGTCATTGAGGTTGTAGCCAAATGGTGTTACAATTATAAAACCAATCGGAACGAAACATTGGGTTTATTGATAACGATAGATAAAATATCGTTATAAGTTAAAACTATCAATACACCCGAACATATTAAAATTTAATTAACGAGAAGAAATTTTGGGGACAATTACAATCGGAATGCAGTTTCTAACCTCCTACTTCCGCTACACGTGGAGAAGGTGGACGGAACGGAAAGGTAATGCGTCGACAGATGACATGTAATTGACGCGACGGAATATGGAACTGTAAACATCATTGTCAAATTTGGGTATGAAGAATACGAGGGAAGCTCGGTAAAACCTCATCCTAAACCACCAAAATGCTTAATTAAATTTGTTCTGGAAAAGTGTGTAGTTAATATGAGTGTACGAATGTAAAATAGTGATACACGCTTGAAAAGATGGGTTGTGTGAATTTACATTAAAAAGAGAAAAGTTTCAATCATTAACAATTGTTTTTTCCTGTTAATTGAAACTCTCTGTCAAGCCGAAATTCGCGATTGATTTTGTAACATCAAAAAAACATATTTCGTTTTCAAAATGTCTCGCGATTAAAAATGCTTCGTCAGTGGCGTGGGAAGTAGAACCGACAAAACAGGCAGGGATGAGCAAGACAAGGAGCATAAAATACCGCACGGGTATCACATATCTTGAAAAATTACATTTCGTCGTTTTTTTTTTGACATTTCGTAGTTTTTTTGACATTTCATAGGTTTTCTACAAGATGTTGTACACTTGTTGTGGACTCTTTTTGTATGTGTTGTTTAAACTTCAGCGAAAAGCGATCATAGCAAGCAAACGTGGAATGCACTATGTTTAAACGAAAAACTACCTAGTCTGCAAGATGACATTTCGTCGGTTTTTGAGACGTTATTTAGGTTAGCCGTGCCGCACTCCTATCTTGATGATTCTACACAGCATGGGTGATCAGTCGCCGGGCACTGTGCGGGTTCGAATCCCGTCCCATGAGAAATGTTTCTCTTGTCTATGGATGTTGTGATTGTCCGTAGGTGGTAGACGGTCTCTGACTGTCGAACGCAGAGGTACCACCCGGCAGATCTCGTAGGCGGGGCCAGAATGTGTGCTTGGTGCATGCACACGTGTTCCCTCGCCAGAGTCCGTGTGGCGTTCCCCCTTTCCCTGGAACCCCCTATAGCCCCACGGTACCCCATGGGTGTTTAGGCCTTAGGCCTTCGTGGTAGTTGGAATATAAAAAAATGATTTTTTATAATATTTTGTTTATATTTTTCAATTCAAAACAACTGAAAGACTTTTATTTCGTCACCCAATTGCAGCCATTTATTTTGAATACAATTTTTTGAAACAATACAATATACCCTCAAAACGTCAGTCCTTTGGGATGTCACAATTCCAAAATAAATTTGCAATCAAGTGTTAAGTGTACTTAATAATGTGTAGTATAACTTGCATAATATATAGTTCTCACCGTTAGTTACAAAAAATTGAAAAAAAATTGTGTTAAGTTACATTTGTCAGTCCGTTTTGTGTTGTTAAAATATGAAATTCTTACCAAGCATCACCGACTTGAGGTTGTATCCTTATTAAATTTAAAGGCGGCTGGTAAAGCTAGCTGCATATCGTGCCATTTGACGGCTGTAAAGCAATATTCGTATAAGCCAGATAAAGGTGTTTAAAATAACTGCAACCCAGGAACATCTCTATTTACCTTAAAGGTCGACATGCGGATCAGGTACAGCAGCAGAAACATGTGATAATGGAAGATAATTGAGTTTGTTGAAATCTCCACCTAATTGACAACCGATATGCCTATCTTTTTTTTTTCTCTTTTCTCACGTACTTTTTGGTTCTCTCATCTACAATGTCGGTTTATGGTACTTGTTTCCAATTGGACAATTTTTGAAACAGTTTCACTAAAACGCTTTCTAGATTTTAATCTGCGGATCTAGTAGAAAAATATGTAGCTAAAAAATATGTAGCTAAACCAGGTGATTTATAAACAATTTCTTTATTGCTTCTTCTTACACAAATCGTATATTTTTTCGCTAGTTTGACAGGTCTTTTCAAGATAATCTGCTATATTCATTTGAGGCATTACTACAAAAGCGCCTTCTTATTGGTCCATTTTGGTCTACTCGCAGGTGCGGGATGGTTCTTCAATTTGGAAGATAGGGAACTGCATCTTATGTCCATTGTGTCAGTTATTTGTTGAAAGCTCAAGCTATCTCCAGAGTTCATTTACTCAGATCTGCCCCTATATGTGAATACGGGTACACTCACTGCGTTTATGTCCAATAGAATTAAGATTCACTTAAGGTGTGGAAAAAAATAAGAATCTAGAAAATATTAGATGTGGGGCGTTTATATCATAGCGAGTTGGGTCTGGGACCATCCACATACATTTAATGCGTAATGTGACCAGATACATTGCCAATGGTGTGAAGTCATTTCAAATCAAAGTGCTTACATCGATAAGCACAATTCCAAATATTAATTCAATTGCGCTTTTTTAGACGATTGGCTCATCATCTTAGGGTGATCATGGTATTTCACGAATTTTCAGTTTTATTACTAAAATTACCCTTCTCAAATCCTACTGGAAACTATTATCTAATATAATAATCCTTTGATAATCGTTGATCTCATCGAAATAATTCCCGCAGGTGTGAAGCAACATCAGCTAGCGACTACGTGGAGTTTTCCAACTTCATGGCGCGCGACAGGAAGTACAGTAGGCATTGCGGCCAATTGAAAGAGTTTGACATAGAGTCAGACAGAAAATTCTTCCGGGTGACATTTCGGTCTAACGACAGGCTGGATGGTACTGGATTCAATGCATCCTACCACTTTCTGGATGAAGTGGAAGTTTATACGGGCAAGCCGGTTGGAACTAGCACCAGCGAATCATATCGACGAAATGGTAAGACCTTGACTAAACCACAATCTAGGTACACATTCATTCCTAAAGACTCATAATGTTCATCACTAGTTTTTAGCTAAAGATGATACCCTTTTTAGGTTAGCAGAGAATCAGAGACCACATTCGGTTATTCAAACAAATGTGTGAAGCTCAAAATGATACTTTTCTGTTTCCAACTCTTACAAGCCGTTTAGTTTTAACTCAAGGATCGTCCAAAATCAAGCAAACTGCGAAGTCCGTAGAATATATATCAGCTAGTTGCTTAAAATATGCTTTTTAAACTGCCGTTCAGAAACATGGCGGCAATGGGCTTTTTCCATACTATTAGTATTATTTACTGTTTTTACGCTGAAGCAGCCGCACAGGCAGAAGATTAAATACCAGGACACCGCGACTGCTATGAGGAACGCAAAGAAATTTTATCCGATTTTTCGACTGCCTAAGGTTAGTATAACTGAGTAAAGCCTCCTCATGTAGATTTTTCCGGAATCTCGACACCCTCGCGTAAAGGAGCAGTCGTATCGGATCTGAATGTATTAAGTTCGACACGGTTAAGATGGGAGGCCGAAGTCAGGCGGGTCTCTCTGGCAGGCACATCGCGCGGCGGCATCATGGGGGAACAAAGCTCGTTGTTGTAGCGATAGAAGAGACCCAGATCGTCGACGGCCCATCTGTGCGAAAGGGTCCCGAAACTGTCTGTTAGAGAGGAGTCATCGACTAGTCGAACAGCCTTCCTCTGGACAGCATCGAGCAGAAATAATGCAGTCGGGGCGGCAGCACCCCAAACATGTGAGCAATGCTCGAGGCTGGGTCCAACCTGGACTTGTATAGAGTGAGTAGGTCATGCGGGAAAAAGTACTTCTTAGTCCTAAGCAAATAACCTAGCTTTGTCCCAGCAGCCACCACGATTGGCGAGATGTGTTTGTACCAGATTAAGTCCTCGGTGATCTGGACTCTGACCAACCGAAATCATCGGCTCTTTGGCAAAACTTGGCCATCCTTCGAAACCGGATGAGCGCTAGGACGCTTTTTGTTCGTCAAAGTATAATTCTGTGTTTTGGAAGCATTAAACTGTACAAAACTGTTGCGTCCCCAAGCAGTGATAATCTTCAGGTCTCTCGTCAGACAGGAAGTCGTCGCTAGTCTTCTTTTTTCCAGCTCAGCGGCAGAGATCGGCTTGTCACTGAGAATTTATGCATGTAGAGTGCTATCATCAGCGAAGCTGTGGATTGGGTTCATCGTGCAGGAAAGGAGGTCGTTGATATGTAAGAGGAACGATGTCGGAGACAATACCGCAGCTCTCCATCACCTTACTTTTAACAGTAAGCAATATAGTTGTACGAGTCGGTCTTAGATCCCTTTTTTGAGAGGGGGTTGGACTTGAGCAAATTTCTTGAAAGCTGCCGGATTCATTAGATATCTGGAAGAAACTCTAAAGAACTAGAGCAAGCTCCGCTGCACACCTCTTCAATACAACAGGAGAGATCAAGTCCGGACCAGGAGTTTTAGTGTCAAACGACAAGAGCACCCATCTCATGGTCTTATGCCTGAATGTTACTTCCAGTATAGTGTAGGAATTCCTTTCAAGTCCACGGCACTCGGGCATTAGGGGGACGTCCATGGTGGAGTTGGCAGCAAAGATCTTGACAAGCACTTCTTCCTTAGCATTTGAGTCGGTTACAATCGTTCCATCCTGACACATAGTTTACTCTGTGAGAAGTTCCTTTCAATCTGCTTGGCCACCTCCTGCTGCATCGATCTTGTTTGAATCCAACCTGAGGTGAGCTCATAATGAGCATCGAAACCAACGAGAAGTACCTCTGAAGCGGGCTGATTGATGTTCAATAAAACGATCTTGACAGCGAGGTATTCAAGTAGGTCATCCTAGATGGAGAGCGATAGAGGCAGCAAATAAATTGTTGGGATGTTTTGAAGTTGAGGCGAAGCCACTGAATGTCCTTCCGGTCTGAGTAGTAACGTCTTTGGAGCAAGAAAGACTGCCGCGGACAAAAGCCACAACACTGCCTATCTTTCTCAGATTTGAATGCACCTCGTAATTTGGGAAGCTAAGATGATTAGTCGGTGCAGACTCTGAGAGTTTGGTCTCCACCAGGAAAAGCAGGATGATTAGATTGCAGGTAATGATGAACAGCATCAATGATGTTGTTAATCACGCAGATGCTCGTAAATTAAATTTTATCATCGATGTTGTTTCCCCTAGTCCATCCTCCACCCGGACATTCCGAGAGTGCGGTGAGTTTACGTGGACTGTTGGATCTGTCGGTGTCAGTGGATTTCTATGTAACCCAACGACGGTTGTAACCCAACACATTCATATATATTGATGGCATACACTATGCTACACGTTTGTCATGTTTCATGATAAATACTGACTGAACACAGTAAATATTGAAGTTATGGCGTTCATCCTACACTTTTGTACGAGGTACTTAAGTCCAAATAGTTCATTCTCACAAAACATCGTTTTAACTTTCTACACTTAAACATGCATTAATTGTTATGTGCGGAAGGTAATAAGAAAATAAATAACACTAAGTAGTTATTACAAGCCGTCGCTCAAACTGGTTCAGTATGGTACGAAAGGTCAGGTTTGAGTCCCTTGTACCTTGTAAAGTATCCGTGTAAGCATCTGGATCCTAGCTCAAACTCACGTGTATCTGAGCAGCCCTCTTGGGGAAACGTTTACTCACCGACTTGATAGTAGTTAGCAAACCTTTATTCACGCACGTTGAAAGGCAACTATTATATGATTATTAGGATCTACGGAAACTTCTTCATATGCTTGCCGGTTTGATTGAGCTATCACCAAGAAATGTTGCAGGATCATTTCCTGATCATTGTCATGAGAAAATATTCCGATCCTAGAGGCATTCTGGAGTCTCGCATCACGAAAACGTCGAATGGTTCAGCAAATTGATTTTCTCGTTTCGGCATATTCGCGCATCTTATAATTATATTTTTGTGATTCTTGCCATCGTTAGTTACTGTCACTTTTGTCAAGATGCTGATTTTGTGGTGGATGTTGGGAAAAGGTGGTCAATAACGGAGACAAAAAGTAAGTCAAACTCCTACTGTGGCATCTTCAGTTTGTCGAACTGTATAAAATCTCAAACACGTCATTCATTGTCGCAATGTTGAATGAAAAATGTCGGGCGCAAGGTTCAAGAAGGCACTTTATGAGTCCCATGGGATGTTTTAGCTGCCTCCCACGCGACAACATTGATCATTTGACATTGGAGAAGACCTCCCCCCCAGGATTCTTCCACCGTAAAGTTTTTCAGCTTCTGTATGCTCCGCGAAAGTTTCACTACATTGATCCAGCTGCAAAAAAACATTACATTGTTTACGTTTTAATTGGATTTGAATTTCCACGTAAAAGCAAGTGAGTTTTCTACAGCTTACATTACATGCAACCAACCCCCTGCTTCTAGCCGAGTTCTTGGAAAGTGTGCTTTTATGAGAAAAATCGACAATTGCTAACTTTGTGAAGTGCTACACCCAGAAAAAAAATTCCAACTGTTTTTTTCAACAATGACTATAATTAAAGCATGCTGTGGCAACATTGTCAACGTTTTATCTTTTTTTTGTTTACCTTTATTAAAATGTTATCTCTTATGTCGGGTTCATGCACGACTTAACGTAACCGAACTTAAGGATCAGCTGTTTCTACACCAGTATCCTCCACATGTTACGCCTGCAGATAGTAACTAAACTCTGGGCGCTGAAGAAAGACATTAAACGTAAACAGTGATCAGCACGTGAACAGATCCCTCGAAAGCATCCACGGATATATTCCAGTCACTTTAGGTCTAAACATCCTCGGCAGTGTATTTCTAGTGAATCCACAGACCCTTTTTCGTGTCATCTTGAGACTAGAAAAAGGATGACTGTTAAAATAAGTTACCTTGATCTTTCATGAGCTCCCAGTACAAAACATCATCGATATATTTTTGATGTAGGAACAACAAATTGGTTTAGAAAACATCCACTTTGAACCTAAATTGACTGGAGTAACATCGATCTACAGACAAATTCAAGGTCACTAGCAGTCGTCGGCGCTCTACGAATCTGCACAGGTTTGGACTTGTAAACGTGATTGTAGATGACACGACAGGCATCTAACAGTTAATTCACGCACAGGATTGCATTGCATACGCATTACGCATTCAGTAGCGTATACTCGTTTTTCGCGAGTGGAACGTTTTGTTTATATATTGCCTAAGATACGATGACACAGATACAGCCGACGAAGTGGTTGACATCAGCGCAACCCCACCCAAAAAAAGGGCTAAGAAGCTACATTTAAGTGCAAATGAAAAACAAATAATATTAAATATATACAAAAACCAAATTCAAGAAAAACCCGATTTGGTCGTGGACGAAGTTATATGTAAGGTAGCACATATTTCTGGAGTATGTCGGTCCAGTGTTTATAGGATCATTAAGGAATATAGGAGCACTCACTCACTTTCTGAGCCAAAACCGTATCCTGCAAGAAAAAGGATAACGGACGGAGTAGATGACTTTGACAGAACTGCCATCAGGAGGAAAGTGCATAATTTTTTCTTCCGAAATGAGATACCTACAGTAGATAAGATATTAAGATTAGTTAATTCTGATGAGGATCTTCCATCATTTAAAAGAACCACATTCCGAAAACTTTTGAAGGAACTTAATTTTCGATTCTTGAAACGGGGAAGAAACAGTATGTTAATAGAGAAAGAAGAAATTGTTGTGTGGAGAAGGGAATACCTTAGGAAGATTCGGAAGTTTCGCGATGAAAAAAGAAAAATTTACTATTTGGACGAAACGTGGGTGAATGCTGGACATACTCAAGCGAAAGTTTGGGTCGACAAATCAGTAACATCATCAAGGCAGGCTTTTCTAGACGGTCTTTCGGCTGGATTGAAAAATCCTGCAGGTAAGCTCCTTCATCTATCCGGCAATTTAATTTTGATAAATTCGGGCAAATAATATGC